TGGTGGAGATGGGGGGGGAGGGGGGTGGGGGTATTTAGGGAGGGTTATGGGAGGTAGGTTTTGGGGGTAGGGAGGGTTTTTTTTTGGGAATGGGGATTTGTTGGTAGGTGTGGTATTAGTTGAAGGTGTTGATATGGAGGGTGGGATATTGTTTTAATTATTGGGATTTTTATTTGTTATTGGGGGGGGTTGGAGATTTGTGGGGTAGGTTGATTGTTGTTTGTGGGGGGGGGGGGGAGGGGAGGGGGGGAGGGTGAATTGGGTTTTTTTTAATTTATTGTGGGTATGGGGATTGGGTAGGGGGGTTGGGTTGGGGGGTATATTAAATGGGAAAAGGGGGGTGTGGGTTTGGAGGGGGGATAGTTAAGTTTGGATGTAGAATGTAGTGAATAGGGGGGAGGGGGGGGGGTATTTGTAGAGGGGTTGGGGAGATGATTTGGTGGATGGGGTAATTGGGGAGGAGGAGGGGGGGGGGAGGGTTTTTGGGATGGGTTTGGTTGGATAAGTGTATTGAGTGGTGAGGTTGGTTTAGTTGATTTTATAGTTGGTAGGGGGATGTTGTTTTAGGGTGTGCGGTGAGGTGTGTTGTTGGAGATTTGTTTATTAGGGGTGTGTTGTGTTTTAATGTGTAGAAAGGTAGAATGTTGATAGAGATGTTTGGATGTGGTGAAATGTTATAGGTGGTTAGGTGTTGGGGGGTAGTTGTTATAGAGGATTGAGTTGTGTTAATTGTAGTTTTAGAGGTAGTAATAGGTATTATGAGAGTTTAGATTTGGGGAGGAGTTTTGTAATTTTTAGGTGGATAGGAGGGGGGGATAAGATTGTAGGGTATAGGGTTAGAGGGGTGGATGATGAAAGTGTTAAGAGGGGTTGTAGGAATGATAGGATGTTGTATATGAGTGGTGATTGGGTGATATGTAAGAGGGGGTGTTTTTGATAGTAGAAGGGGGTGGGTATTTGTTTTGGGTTTTGAAGGAGAGGTTATGTGTTGGGAGAAGGAAGTGAGAATTGTATAGGGTTGGGGATGTGATTTAATTGGATAAGGGGGAAATATTTTTAGGTGGAGGTGGGGGGGAGGGTTAAAGTTGAGGGGGGGGAGGGGTTAAGTAGTAATTGAAGGTAGAGGGGAGGGAGATAAGAAGGGATTGTAAGAGAGGGTGATTGGGAGTAGTTTTATGGAGAGGGTGGGTATGTGGGAGTGTTGTTTAGATGGGGTAGTTTAGAAGATTAGGATGAATAGAGTTGGATGGGGGGAGGGTGGTAGGAGTGTTAGGGTGGATAGTGAAGAGATAAGGAAGTAGGGTAGGGGGTATGGTGGTTGGGGTAGGGGGGGGGGGGGGGGGGATGTGGGTGGATAAAGGGAAATGGGAGGGGGATGGGTATTAGGGTGAGAGGAAGGGGAAGAAGAATGAGTATAAGAGTAGAAAGAAATAAAAAGTAGGGTGAGGATGAAGATAATAAGGGAAATAGGATAAATAGGGAATAGGGAGGGTATGGTGGGAATGGGAGGGGGGGAGAAGGGATAGGGATGATATATGTAGATAGGGGGGTGGATAGAGGATGGGTGGGAAAGGAAAAAATGAAGAGGGGATTGTAATTTTATTAATAATGGGGGATAGGGAGTGATGGGGGGGTATGGGGAGGAGATGAGAGAGGGAGGAGAGAGGATAAGTATTAGTGAGGGGAGGGTTAAGTGTGTAGGTATGATAGTGGAGTGAAGAGGAATTGGGGAGAAAAAATATGATAATTGAGGGGGGTTTTAAATAGAAGGGGTATGGGATGAGAGTTGTATAATTATGTATTTATTAGGGATGTTTTAGTTTAGGGGATGATAGGGGGTGAGGGGAATTTTGTTTTGTGAGGTGGGTTTGTGTTTAGTGGGGTTGTGTTAGAGGTTTAGTGGAGGTAGATTTTATGAGAAAGGGGGAGAAGAATAGATTTTTTTTATGTAGAATGGGAGAGGATTAGAGTTATGGGTGTAGTTTTGTATGTTTTGATTTATTTATGTTGTTGTGGAGGGATTTGTTGGGTGATTGAGGGTGGATGGTTGGGGTAAATATAAGAAGAAAGGAGGGATTTAGAAGAGAAGAAGAGAAGAAGATTTAATAGTTTTGGGTTTTGGATGTGGATAGATTTAGTGGGGTTGGGTATAATTGTTTTTTTTTTGGAGTGAGTGGATAGGGGTTATAATGGGTAAAGGTTTTTGGTAATATGGGGTGGGTAATTATGTATGGTTGGATTTGTTGGGTGAAAAGAGGGTGGAGATGGGATGGTGAAATTTTGTAAGTAATGGTGAGGAGAATGGTTGGGGATGGTGGGGGTGGAAGGAAGTTGTGTTTTTATTTGGAGAGGGATTTAGTATTGGAGTAGTTGGGTGGATTTGTTGTGGGAGATTTAGAAATAAAGATAGATATAGAACTCAAGAGTGCACATACACAATAAGATAATGTTTAAAAGGGCGTATAAATAAGGGTTATTTTTGGGTGGGGGTGGTAAAAAAAATTATTAGTCCAGGTTTACGCTAAATACACTGTAGGATTATTAATTGGGAGATACGCCCAGATCGAGCGTACGCAATGCTCGGGTTGATAAACGAATGAATTGTAGAAAAAGATGGGTGATTATGTAAAAAATTGAATTATGAAGAAAGCGAGTGGTTCTAGAACAGGATGAGGAAAGGTATAGAAGAAGAAAATATAATGATATGGTTGGTTGGAAAGATTAAGGGATGTTGGGGGGTGATTGTGGTGGGATTTTGGTTGTTTAGATTGTTTTGAATGAGGGAGAGGGATTATTTGGGGGGGAGTTTTTTGGGGGGGGGTGTATGTGGTATTTGAGAGGGAGGGGGGGTTGGGGGTGTTGGTAGTATGTGTGTTGGTGGATTGTTTGTTGTGGTTGGGTGTGTGATTATTGTAGGTGAGGGGGAATTTAGAGGTTGGGGGGTGGTGGGTTGGGAGAGATGGGGAATAGGGGAAGAGGGGATGGAAGAGTATGTTTTTGGATTATATGTGGTAGTTGTGATGGGGGATAGGATATATGATTTGTATGTAGTATATTTGTGTATGGATTTGATGTGTATTTTATGGGTAAGGGGTTGGAAGGTTTATGGAAGGATAGGTGGAATTTTGAGTGAGTTGTAGTTGTATAGAAAAGGGGGTGATATGTTGATATGGTGATAGATTTGAGTTATTGATTGTATGTGGTTTTTGTTTTTTTTTGTAATTTTTTTTATGAATTAATTGTGTTTTTTATTTGTTTTGGTGTGATGGTTTAGATGTTGATGATTGATTGTGATGGGGTGGGTTGAAGAGAGAAGGGGGGGTTTTTTGTTTGTTTTTTTTATTTATTATTTATTTGATTTTTGTTTTATTTATTTTTGTTTTTAATTATTTATATGGGGTATATATTTTAGGTTTTTATTGATGTGATGGATTTTATATGTATTTTTAGTGAGGTGAAGATTTTGTTTAGTTGGGATAGGGGTGGTAGAGTGTAGGGTGGAGTATTGGGGGGGGGGTATAGGATAGGTGGTATAGGGTGTGGTGATAGGGGTTGAGGTGTAGTGTAGGGTATGGATGGTGATATTGTGGGGTTTCTTTAGTGAGGTTAGTGGGTTATTTGTGGGGGGTTTTGGAGGAGTGGGTTAATTTGAAGGGTTTATTATGAGGGTTGAGTTGTTTGAGAGAGGTGGGTAGGGATGGTGATGGGGGGAGGTGTGGATGGGGTGGGGGGGAAATGGAGTGGAAGATGGAGATGTTGTTTTAGGGGTTATAGGTTATTTGGATTATGGGTATAGGAGTGTGTGGATGGGGGTGGGTGGTAGGGGGTGGTGAGTTTGTGGTGGATGGGGGGGGGGGGGGGGGGGGATGGGGTGTTGGGGGGTATGATGGTTATTTGGTTGGGTGGTGAATGTATTTAGTTGAGTGGGTATGGGGGATGGTGGTGGGTGGAGTATGGGGGGGGGGGAGTTAGGAGGGGGGTTGAGTTTTGGGGGTTTAGGAGATTTGGTGTGAATTGGTGAGTTGTGGTGGGGGGTGGGGGAGTTGTATATTGGTTGATTTTGAGGGGGGGGTTGTGAGAGGGGGAGTTGGAGTGAGATGGGGTAGTGATGGTTGAGTAGTAAATGTGGGGTAGGGGGGGGGGTTGTGATTAGGGTAGAGTATGGGGTTATATTGTTGGGGGGGGGGTTTGTGAGTTGTTTTAAGGGTATGTTTAGGGTTGTTAGGGGTGAGTAGGGTTGTTGGAGGGTTTTGGAAGGTAAGGGTGTGGTATAGGGGAGTATTTGTTGAGATGGGGGTTGATGATGGGGGGGTGATGGGTGAGTTGGAGTGTGGAAGAGTGGGGGGTTAGAATTTGAGAGAATGAGGGTGATTTGGATGGAAGTGGGTGGGTAGGAGGATAGGGTTGTGAGAGTTTTGTAGAGTGGAGTTGTGGTGTTGAGTGAGTGATTTTGGGGGTGTTATGTGGTGTAGATGGGGTTAGATGTGGGGGGGTTTGGGGGGGTGTCATTATTTTGGTTATTGGAAGTAGGGGGTAGTAGTGGGTTATGGAGTAGTTTTAAGTATTGTAGTGTAGGGTGATGGGATTTGGTGGGGGGGGGGGGGAGGGATTGGAAGGGGTTGTAGGGAATGGGGTGATGGGATATGGGAGGGGGGGGTTAATTTTTGATGATGATTGTGTATGGGGGATGGGGGGAGGGGATGGGATGATTTTGGGGGAGGGGGGAGATTGTGGTGATGATGTGGAATTTGAGTTATTTATTTTTATTTTTTTGTTGGATGGTGGTGAGGAAGATGGGTGATAGATGATTGGTGTGGGATTTTTGTGTTTATGATAGAAATGGGGGAGAGAGATGGGAAGATGTGAAGATATGAGGAGAGTGGGGGGGGGTGGTGGAGATGAGATGATGGGATGATGTGGGGTATGATGTGGGGAATTAATGGGGGGGGGGGGGGATAATATGATTTTGAGTGAGTTAGTGTAGGGAGGGTGGGGTTGTTATGATGTTGGTTGAAGGAGGGATTGGGATGGAAGATGAAGGTAGATTGGTTTTTGTGGGGTTGTGTGTGGGTTGTTTGGGGGGTGTAGGGTTTTTTTGGGAGTGTTGTGGGTGTTGGTTTGTTTTTGGTGATTTATTGGGTAGGAGTGTTGGGGGGGGGGGGGGTGGTTTGTGTTTGGAAGTGGTTTGGTTGGTTGTATATGTTTTTTGAGTTTATGATTTTGGGATTTTGTTTGGTGGATTGTAGTGTGTTTGGATTGGTTATGGGAGGGGAGATTTTTTTGTAGGGGTGGATTGTTTATTGTTTTTGTGGGGGGGGGTTGGGGGGGTTTAGGGGGGTTTGGGGGGTGAGGGGTGAGGGGGTTGGTTGTTGTGGGGTTGGTTGGGGTGGGGTGGTGGGGTGGGGGGGGGGGGGGGGGGGGGGGGTTTGGGGGGGATGAGTAATGAGAATAGTTATAATGGTGAGATTTGGGATATAGGGGGTGGATTTAATTAGGGGTATATAGAGATTAGGAAGAGTGAGAGTAAGGTTAAGAATAAATATAGAGATTTTTATAAGAGGATGGTAAAGGAGTGAGATATATATAGATGGAAGATGAGGTTATTGGGTGGGGATGGGGAAGGGGGGAGAGGGGGTGAGGGTTTAGGGAGGAGGGAATGGTATGGGGGGAATTTGGTATTGAATATTTGGGGATATTGTAGTTTTTAGGGGTTTTTATTGGTTGTGATGGTTGAGTTTTGGGGGGTGGGGAGAGAGGGGTGATTTTATTGGGTTAGAAGGGGGAAGATTAAGTGGTTTGTTTGTGGTAGGTGGAGAGGTAGTTGTGGTAATGGGGTTTTAATGTTTTAGTTTGGTTGGGTGATTTTTATATGTGTAGATTTTATTTATTAAGGGGTTTATGGTTTTATGGTGGTGTTAGGGGGTAGGGGGGGGGGTGGTAGGTGAGTGGAGGAAGGGGGGGAGGGTTTGGTAGAATGTTTGGGTTGGTTGTTTTTGAAGTTTTTGTTTGGTTGGGGGGTTTTATGGGTTTTTTTTAGGTTTATTATTTTGGGTGGGTGGGGAGAATAGTTATGGGTGGGGGGGATTGTTTAATTGGGGAGAGGTGAGGAAGAAATGGAGAGGTAGATATTGGGATAAGGTATTTTATTTTTATTTTGATAAGGTTGGGTTGGGGGGGGTGGGTTAGGTTGTTGTTTGTAGGGGGGTATAAGTTGAGTGTGGAGGGGGGTTATTGGGGGAGTATTATGGTTGATTAGGGTTATTGGAGTTGGGTTTGGGGGTTTTTAGAGGGTTAGTTTTGTGTTTTATGTTTTTTTGGAGATAGTTATAGTGTTTGTGATTGTATTGTTGGTAGATATTTTGTTATATTGGTTTTTTGTTTAATGTGATGGGGGGTAGTTGAGGGGGGGGGGGATTTTTATGTATTTGGATTTAGGAGTGGAAAGTTGGGGGGGGGGTTTTTAGGTTAGGGGAAGTTATATTGGGATTTGATTTGGTATTTTGGTTGAGTTGTTTATTTGTGGTTGAATTTGGAAGTTTATGTAGGGGAGGATGTGGATATGAATGTGATGGAGTTGTGGGGGGAAGAAAGGTGTTTTTTTTATTTATTAGATATGTGTTGTGGGATATTAATGGGATTTTTGTGTATGTTTGTTGTTAGGATTGTGGTAGGGGGTTGAGTTGTGTTTAGTTGGGGGGAGGGTGTATGGGGGATGAATTAGAGTTGTGGGGTGATAGGGAATATAGTGGTTATTTTGATAGAAGGGGAGGGTTAGTATAATGAGTGGGGTGAGTGGTATTAGTTGTGTTTTGATTTTGAGAGGGAGTTTTTTATTTTTATTAGGGGTGATGAAAGGGATGTGAGATTAGGGTTGTTTTAGAGGATTTTATGGGTTTGTAATATAGTTTGAGATATTGAGATAGGGTGTGTTTTAGATGGGATGGAGAAGGGTTAGAGGGGGGGGGAAAAGAATTTTTATTTTTAGAAGGGATGTGGTGGGTTAAGGTGATATGTTTGTGGGAGGTGTACAGGGATGGGGAGGTCGTATATATAGCTGGATGGTGTGGATTGATAGGGGTTATTTAAGAAGGTTAATAGGGAAAGGGGGTGTTGGAGTGAGGGTATAATGGGGGAGAGATTTTAGGGTTAAAGTAGGAGGAGATTATGGTAGGTTAAAATTGATGGATATTGTAGGGTTAAAAGTGTAGGGGAGATTTAGGGTTAAAATGAGATTTGGGTAGGGTTAAATAGTTAGGGAGATTTGGTAGGGTTAAAATAGATTTAATTGTTAAAGTGTAGGGATATTTTAGGGTTAAAATAGATTGGGTAGGATAAAATGTAGGAGGATTTGTATTGGTGGGTTGGGGGTATTAAAATTTTATAATTAATTTTGGTTGTTGGAATTGTGATTAAGGGTATGTGTTTTTTGGAAGGTAGGTGAGTGATTTAAGGAATTGTAGGGAATTGGTAGGGAGAATTAAAGGGTAGAGTAGTGAGATGTGTTTTTATTTTGTATTTATATTTTATGAATTTATGAGAGGATAAGAGATGAAAAGAGAAATGTATATATGGAATAGAGATAGAATTTTTTTATTATTTTAGAAGATTTTATTGAATTTTGATATATATAAAATGGAGAATATTGAGGTGGTGTGGTTGATTAATTATGAGGGGGGGAATTAGAGGGTTGGTGTGGTGTTGGGAGATATTTTGAATATGGGGGTAGAAGGGGGTAGGGGTAAGATGTATTGTTATGGTATATGGTTGTATATGGGATAGATATATGATTTTATGAAGATATGGTTATGATATGATGTGATGTTATGGTGGAAGGGTTGAAGGGTTAAGGAAGAAGTAGGAATGTTTGCGAATATAATAATAAGATATTAGTATTATATATTATCAGCAGTGGCTCGGAATGAAGAGTCTGCTGAGTCTTGGACGAAGACTGGCGAGGGTTTGGTGGAATGTGGTTGAGAGGAAAAATTAAGAGGAGAGTGCGGTACTTTTTAAATTAGATACTCATGAAGAAAATAGGATGAAATGGGAGAGTTAGTGAGAAAGGATATAGATGAAAATATGTAACAGGGAGTGAGTATGTTTTAGTGAGATATTAATGAGTGGAGGTGTGGGGGGTGGGGTGGAGGGGGGGGGTGGGGTAAAAAAATCTATGTTATTTATATTGGAGGTGTGGGGGTGTGATGAATTTTGTGAAAGTAAGTAATGATAAGTGAATGAAAAAGAAATTGATGGGATATATGAAAGGGTGAGGTTTGTGTTTTATTGTGAGGAATGGTTATAAAAGAGTATATTGAAGGAAATGGTGTTTTATTGTATTGATTTTGTTGATATAAATTGATTGGTTTGTTGGGATGATATGTGAGGTGTTTGTGAGGTGAAATAAAATAGTTTATTTAAGATGTAAGTGGTAATAGTAAGAATGAAATTATGGATAAATATTATGTAATAATGATGTTGTAATGGTGGGGAATTTGGTGAATTGGGGGTTGAATTTGGGTTAATATTGAGGTAATTGATATTGTGTCGGTTGGGGGGGGTAATTGGATAGAGATGAGAAATGAAGGTAGGTGTATGGGGAGGTGAAGATTGGAATTTGGGGATGGGAATGTGATGGAGAGGGGTGGGGGGGGAGAAAGGTGGGGATTTTTTTTTTTTTTAAAGGGGGGGGGGTTTTATTTTTTTGAGAGGGAGAGTTGGGGAATGTATGGGAAAGGATGGAGTGAATAATAAGGTTGTTGGTATGAGTGAGAGGATGTTTGGATGTAATTGTAATGGGGGTTTGGGAGGTGGGGGGTTATATATATTATATGATATTGTATTGTTTGATTGGTGTTTGTTATTATGATGGGTGTAAGAATTGATATGAGGAATATGGGGGGGAGGGTAGAAGGATTGTTATATTATTTTTGTAGGAGGAGGATATTGGTGTGTTTTGTGGGTTTAGGGTTTATTTTGGAGGATTTGGGTGTTTGAAGATATTTATGTAGGAGTATTTTAAACTAAGCAAACCCAAGCGAAATTTGGGCCCATGATTTGAAAAGAAGGATACGGTTGGCTGACTAAAAATTTTGCAGGGTATTGATTTGCAAATTTAGGTAATGAACTTATATATAGGCAGGGGAATGGGGTGATTTGGTGTTTAGTGAGGGGGAGGGAGAAGATAGAAGTACTAATAGAGCCACTGATACTTGTGGAAATTGAAGAAGTATGCCTTTGCAGTGATGTGTTCCCCCCCACAACCAACTCCGGAGAATGCACAGTAGATTTTTAGTAATCAGTTGTTGTGCATTTTATACAGAAATATGAGTGCAAAACGCAAAAACCTCATGGATAAAGGTGATATAAAAGTCAACGTCAAAAATGGGAACGTAATGGATATATGTAAGGTATGTGGAGGGTAGTAAGCTGGAATGTCAAAAAATGTTGTATGTATAAATCAGGAAATAGTTTAGTCAATGTGGTTCCATTGTGAATGTAGTTTAGTGAGATATTTTTGGATGTTAGGTAGGACAGAATTGAATACAGTTTCTAAAAGTTAATTAAATTTCTGGGTATGGTCATTGAAATAGTTAATTCAATTATTTAATCCATTTCTTAGGGTCTCATAGCAACGCAACAATAAAGGACAATATGGAAGGGAGGGGGGATGGGACTAAGAGACGGACGGAGCGTATGAGGGTGAAAGAATACTTGAATATTTAAGTGGGGGATTTGGAAAAGGGGGGGGATGTGGTATTGACAATTGGTATAATAGTAAATGAGGACATATGTGGGAGTAGTGGAGAAGGGGAAGAGGTGGATTGGATAAAATAGAAATGAGGGAGGTAGGAAATTGGATATACAAAAGGTATAATGTAGGTATGTCAATTTGGGAATGATTGTGGAGGAAGGGGGGATTTTTAGAGAGAAGTGGGGATAATATTATAGATATAATTATGTTGGTAAGGTGTTAAAAAAGAAAATTATATGTGTAAAGTGTGGAATATTATGAGGATGATGGGAGAGTGGGGGTTATGTGGTATAAGGAGTTTGGTATGGTTATGTGTAGGGATGTATTGGAGAGGGGGTGTTATATGATAGGGGGATGAGGGGGTAAGGTTGAATTTTTTAAAGATATAGTAGGAATTGGGGAGATAAGGTATTTCGTATGATATTGTGGATGAGATGGGGGGAAGATATGTATTTAGGGGGGGGGGGGTTAGAGTATTTTTATTTGAAGGTTGGATTGATGTTGGATGTATTGTAGGGTGAGGGGGTATGAAGTAATGGTGTGAAAGTTAAAGTATTGGGGGGGGGGGGTGGGGGTGTATGGGGGATAGGTATTAATTTTGGATGAGGTTTGGTGTGGTAGTTGGTATTGTATGGGTGTGTGTAGGGTGGGTGTGGGGGGGGATAAATGGAGGTTGGTTAGGGTTGAT